TCTCAATTTGCAATGGGGCATGGCCTCTGGAAGAAAATCATCGTAACTTCAATAAATCTTCGCCTTTGCTTGGGCAGCCTTTGAATAACCTATCCTGAAAAGGCGAATCTGTTTCTATTGCGAATCTAAAAATTTGAAAAATTTGAGTTGACTCCGCTGGTCGTAGATGATTTTGCAAAGCATAAAGGAATTAGATCAGATGGTTTCAAATCCTAAGGTAAATGATTAGATAATCTATCTCTGCCCAGCAGTTTCGTGTTTGACTTTTTTCATTCATTTTTTTTTGCATCATGGTCGTTCAACTTGGATCATTTATCATCGATCTCTAATCATTTTCGCGAATTTAAAGCTATGTTAGTCTAAGAACTTCGTTCTTGCTTTGTATCGCTTAAAAGTTCGAGTTATTAGCTGGATGAGGAGCCAGTTTGGAGGCGAGTGCAATTGTCAAGAGCGCATATGCCCACTGGGGGTTATTTGTCGTGTTGGATGCTTGGCCGGCTGCCAATGATGGATGCTATGCAAATGTGTGCGACTCTTGACACCATACCCTTGGGAGGCTGACGGCTTGAATCTTTCGTAGAGAGCGTATCTGAAGCGGAGAGTCACATTCGGGGCCTTCCATGTATCTTTCGGAGGATGAAGGGAGTTTCCCCGCGGGAGGCGCAATAGATCCGATAGGACGATTGCGGTTGCCAGCTTCTGCCATATCATTTCGACTTCGGCATGCGCTCTGCTATGATTGTAAGTTCTATCTGGATAGTTTGCTTGTACCTACTTGACATTTATCCACCTCTCCTTAGGACTACCAAATTAGGTTAAGCTTTTGACCACCCCCCCCCTCTTCCCCTTATTAATCGCAATTATTTCAATATACCGCAAGCAGTTTTTCTCGTCTAAGCTAATGCATGTCCGAAAAGAGCCGGTTCTTCTCTCGCCAATACAGCCTATCGCAATAGCTGTGCTGTGTGTGGTGTGTGTATGTGTGTGTCGGTAAGGCGTATCAACACCCAACGAACCAACGCCCATCCCCTTATCCGATGATGCGCAAGGCGACGTAACACGGTCTACAATCCTCATCATCAACACTTGTGTGTTTTACGTAATAACATTGCTGTCACTGCTGGTTGGAGAACCCGTTCTCGCCCTATCGTCACTGAGTCTGCTCGAGCGCATCGCTTCTTCTGTCCACGAACAGAAGACGAACTCTCGAAACCTTCTGACCTCTTAACTCAGTGTAGAGTATGCGTCGGAAGGTTTATACCGATGTACGGGTCTACAATTATTATGGATCTCTAAGGCCTATTCGTAGGTTTGTGTGCTATCGCATTTATCTCAATAAGAAGTTTTTTCAAACAGTTTTTTTT